TTTAAACCAAATCGGATAAAAATTGTGACCTCTACAGTGTTCACAAGCTAAAAACGTGATTTTTTGTACAATCAGGGGCCATAATCCATGAAGTTACGGTCCGATACATGCCAATATCGAAAGGAACCGAGATCTTAGGGTGATAAACCTATATTTCAAGTTTCATTGAAATCGGATAAAAATTGTGACCTGTAGACTGTTCACAAACAATTGTGGACAGACGGGCGGGCGGACGGACGGACTGACGGACGGACAGGGGCGACAACAATATACGTCCACATGAAAATGTGGGCATATAAAAAAGGTGATTTTTCGTACAATCCGGGGCCATAATTCAAGAAATTACGATTCGATATGCGCAAATATCAAAAGGAACCGAGATCTTTGTGTTATAAACTTGCAAATATACCACAGTTTCATCAAAATCGGATCAAAATTGTAACCTCTAGAGAGTCCAAAAGCTAAAAATGTGATTTTTCGTACAATCAGGGGCCATAATTCAGGAAGCTACAATCCGATATGCGCGAATATCGAAAGGAACCAAATCTTTTTGTTAGAAACATGCATTTCAAGTTTCATCAAAATCGGATCAAAATTGTGACCTCTATAGTGTCCACAAGCTAAAAACGCGATTTTTCGTACAATCAGGGGCCATGAAGTTATGGTCCGATACATGCCAATATCGAAAGGAACCGAGATATCAGGGAGATAAAGCTATATTTCAAGTTTCGTTGAAATCAGATAAAAATTGTGACCTGTAGAGTGTCTACAAACAAATTGTGAACGGACGGACAAACAGGGGCAACGACAATATACGTCCACATGAAAATGTGAGCGTATAAAAAGTCCTAACCATAGGAGCACTAGCGACGACAATATGCGTTTACATGAAAATGTGGGCGTATAAAAATTGTGACCTCTATAGGATCCACAAGCTAAAACCGTGATTTTTCGTACAATCAGGGGCCATAATCCATGAAGTTACAGTCCAATACATGCCAATATCGAAAGGAACCAAGATATTAGGGAGATAAACCTATATTTCAAGTTTCGTTGAAATCGGATAAAAATTTTGACCTGTAGAGTGTCCACAAACAATTGTGGACGGACGGACGTCCGAACAGGGGCGACAACAATATACGTCCACATGAAAATGTGGGCGTATAAAAAAATGTGACTCCTTGAGGGCCCATCAGCTAAAAATACTATTTTTTATACAATCTGGAGCCATAATCCAGAAAGTTATGGTCCGATATGCGCGAATATCAAAAGGAACCGTCATTAGGGTGTAACAGTGATACATTTGAATGGTTTTTAAAATCAGATAAAAATTGTGACCTCTTGTGGTACCACCAGCTAAAGATAGGTTGCCAGGCAACAAAACATACGCCCACAGCAGATAAATCGTCCGAGCGGTCGACAAGGGATGTCGCATATTTATTCCTTTGTAGGTAATTGGGGGTTTTACAAGACACACTATACGACTGGTACCGTGGAATCTTAGATAAATAGCGTTATTATCTAATCTATGTAGAATTATTCATAAATATCATTGAATTTGGCCTAATAGCATTCAATTTGTCCTTGTATACAACTTAAATCTCAACGTGCAATTTTGATTACCAAGCGTTAATTAACTAGTGTTTAGTTTGTCGACACATGTGTAATTATAAGCGTCCCGCATAATTTTCACGACTGTTCAATAATTAGTTGGACCGTTCAATTTCCTGAGTTGTGATTAAAATTAGTCAAGGTGTCCAATTACGCCAGTTATTCAATTCTGTTGCCAAACATCCAATTTCACATGCGTTGTTTAGATTTTAACGAAATGTTTATATTGAAGGAGTTGTAATATAGTAATGTTGCCGTGAAAACGTGTACATGTATAATGTACAGGCCGGTTTGAATAACAACAAAATGAGTTCGGTAATCTCGGGAAAACATTTACCGGCATTCTGTATCGGTTAGGATTTTTTTCTAACGCACTGTACATGCATATAACGTCGGCCAAAATGTATGCAACAATGAACAACTTACAAGTTTTTTTACAACGTATCATTACATCTTCGTCTATAACTTAGATGTAATCCATCAATTATTGGCTGCTATAAAATCCAAACTTTAAATTATATACGTCATACGATGAGCTTGCAGCTTCAGTTAATCTAAATCAATCATTCATAGAGCACTCGATCCACTCCACGGGGCGCTGAACGGTAAGTCACGTGGTCAGAAACGCGCCATTTTTTGGACTATATTCTTAGTCTGTCTGTGTTAATCGGCGACAAATCTCTGCTGTGACAATATAAATCTACTTTAAATGTCGCCCAATTCATTTCGGTGGAAGCAAATATTGAATAAAGCCATTTCACACACGTGTACATTACATGCGCATGTCATATATTTATACAATGTCCACGATGTGTTACATGTAAATGTCGAACTCTCCTTTACTAGATACAACCTATTTTTTCGACATAATACGAAAACTTATTATCGAATTCACCTTTTTAACTATACCAATAATAAAGAAATTAGAAGATAAATCTATACACACTTGGGTTTGATTTAGAAAAAACTAACTTCACCCTTAAGAAGAACTAATACCACCAGTATGAGTACATACCAGATCGAGGAATACCTATTGAAACCAAATCGACAGTCTATTTTTACAGCATCCGTTTTAGAGAAACTGTTATTCTACTAACCACTTCACCTTTAAGCTACACGTCGTACATTTTTCTCCCGTGGCCCTCTAAACTACAGAATATATTTTTATTCATAGAGGTGACCAACAACCTTCCTATTTACTCGTAATACGATCTACCGCCCATCAGCATCACCAATTTCACGATCCAGAGTTGAACCACTAGTTACGAAACTACTCCTTTGAATTCATAACCGATCGCAGTAAAACTCCATACGTATAGGCCTATTCTACCTCTGCACGTTTGAAGACTAGGAGGTTCCGGATGACCGAGACTATACATATTCATCTCTAAGGAAACTACCGCCATTGATGTTACCTGACTACAGTCCTTTGATGATAGTCGCTGTATATATATATTTGATTGTTTTGTTTTTTAAGTAATTAGATTTTGTTTGTACATCAATTTTATTCATATTTATCATTTTTTTATTAGATTTTTTATGTACATTAATGATCTTAAATTTGTCTATATTATATCATTATTATTTTTATAATCCCAGTAAAGGGATTGATTTTATTAATCCTCAACGTTATGCGCATGCGCAATAATTCTATTGTCTATATATACCCGGTAACAGGATCATTTTTGTAACCAGTTGATAAAGGGCGAACGCCCGAAACGCGTCCTGGATAAAATCTTTTTATATCCACACAGTCTTGTCAAGTTTGTTACCGGGGATTTTTCTACTATGATTTATCTACAAGGAATTGTTCCTGTTTTTCCTCGGATGCATCACTGAGATCCAGACTTGCTTGCACTGTTATGGGGACTCTTCCGCCCCTCATTTCCTATCGTGTGCGAGGTTTTTTCGTCATCTTCTTGGGATTATTAATTCTACATAGATTAGATAATAACGCTATTTACCCTGATTATAAATTTTGTTGTTTTAGGGTTTACAAGGTTCTACAAACTGAAACAAGGGTCTCAACTCTGGAAGTAATCTACAGAAATTGTTGAAATTTGCCAGGCTTTTTCCTTTTACTAATTTAAATAAAGCATATAAATTTCATACAGATCACTTTTGTCATTCCAACGTTCATAATCACCATAACTCTAGAAATTATTGACGGAAATTGCTGAAATTCAATAGCCCTGTTTCACAAATTTAAATGATGCATAAATTTCATACATATCAGATGATAACTTTCATCAATCGAGCATTAACAAGGTTTAACAAAGTGAAACAAGGACCATAAATCTAGAAGTAATTATTGTAAATTGCTGAAATTCAATAGGCTTTTTTGTTTCACTAATTTAATTATGCATATAAATTTCACAAAGATTGGGCGATAACTTTTGGCATTAAAGCGTTCACAAGGATCAATAAAGTGAAACAAGGGCCATAACTCTAGCCGTAATAAACGGAAATTGCTAAAAGTCAATAGGTTTCTTCGTTTCACTAATCTAAATAATGCATATAAATTTCAGAAAGATCCGATGATAACTTTTGGCGTTCACAAGGTTCAATAAAGTGAAACAAGGGCCATAACTCAAGACGTAATAAACGGAAATGGATGAAATTCAATAGGCTTCTTCGTTTCACTAATTTAAATCATGCATATAAATTTCGCAAAGATTGAGTGATAACTTTTGGCATTAACAGCATTCACAAGGTTCAGTAAAGTGAAACAAGGGCCATAACTCTAGATGTAAAGACCGGAAATTGCTGAAATTCAATAGGATTCTTCGTTTCACTAATTCAAATAATACATATAAATTTCAGAAAGATAGGATGATAACTTTTGGAGTTAGAGCATTCACAAGGTTCAATAAAGTGAAACAAGGGCCATAATTCTAGACGTAATGAACAAAAATTGTTGAAATTCAATAGGCTTCTTCGTTTCACTAACTTAAATATTACATATAAATTTCACAAAGATTGTATGTTAACTTTTGGCATTAGATCGTTCACAAGAATTTGTGGAAGATGGACGGACGGACAGACCGAGAGACAGACAACATATATCAATTTTAAAACAATTGGATGATGACTTTTGGCGTTAGAGCAATATGGGCGTATAATGTGGGCGTATAAAAATGCTTTTTTTCGTACAATCAGGGGCCATAATCCAGGCAATTATGGTTCGATATGCACGAGTAGGAACCAAAATCTTTCGGTTATAATTTTAAGTTTCATCAAAATCGGATAAAACTTGTGATCTCTAGAGTGTCCCCAAACGAAATGTGAACGTACGGACAGGGGCGACGACAATATACGTCCGCATGAAAATTTTGGTGTATAAAAAGAGCTGTGTACCCTTTAATTCATAATAAATATAAAGACCATACCTCCTCCATTGCTATAAGCCAAATAAGGAAATCTCCATACATTTCCAAGACCCACAGAATATCCTAATAAGGACATAAGAAAATCAAAACGCCCCGACCAGTTTCCTCTATCATTAGGTTCTTCTTCATTACCAACAAGATCATCATCCAGGGGTGTAAGGACTGCTGTACTTGATACATCTTGAGCCAAACTTTCATTAGGATTCTTTAAATAAAGACAAAATACAAATGTATCTTCTAATATTGCAGGAACGCAAAACATTATATAAACCATAAAGAATTTTAAATATTCACTTTGTATTTGTAGCTGCATGAAACTTAATTACCCACTTTATAAAAAGATAGGTTGCCAGGCAACAAAACATACGCCCACAGCAGCTAAATCATCCGAGCAGTCGACAAGGGTTGTCACATATTTATTCTTTTATAGGTAATTAGAGGAATTTACTAGACAATTTTATACAGATGACATTATAATTTTCGTCGTTTGAGGGTTCACAAGATTCTAAGATAGGTTGCCAGGCAACAAAACATACGCCCACAGCAGCTAAATCGTCCGAGCAGTCGACAAGGGTTGTCACATATTTATTTTTTTGTAGGTAATTACGGGAATTTAATAGACAATTTCATACAGATGACATTATAATTTTCGTCGTTTGAGGGTTCACAAGGTTCTTAAAACTAAAACAAGGGCCGTCTGGAAGCAATCTACAGAAATTGTTCAAATTCGACAGGCTTTTTTCATTTTACTAATTCAAATAATGCATATAAATTTCATACAGATCGGATGATAACTTTTGTTGTTCGAAAGTTCACAAAGTAAATCAAGGACCATTTTATTGAAATTAAATAGGCTTCTTCATTTTACTAATGCAAACAAAATATATTAATTTTAAAACAATCAGATGATAAATGTAGTCTGTAGAGTGTTCACAAGAAATTGTGGACGACGGATGGACGGACCGACAGACTGACGGATGGGGGCGACGGCAATATACGACCACAGTTCCATGTGGGCGTATAAAAAGGAAAAAAAGATAGGTTGCCAGTCAACAAAACACACGCCCGCAGCAGCTACATCGTCTGATAGTCGACAAAGGTTGCCGCATATTTGTTCTTTACTAGGCCATACATGCCAACCTGAGGAGATTGAAAATCAGAATGCCTTGTATTGAGGGTAGAGCGAGGACCGCAGGTCCAAGTTCGATCGGTGCAAAGCACCATGAGCGTCGGAGGCTTGAAGGGCGTGGGGTTTGGGGCTTGTCTAAGGGCCCCAAGAAAATTTTTAGAAATTAGCACCTATTTAAAGCAGTACCTTGTATTATTGGATAAAAACAGCTGGTGATTTAGGTCCATGCATCTGAGGTTTTTTTACCTATTTATATACGAAAGTATGCATATATGCTTTTGGTCATTTACATGTAGGCATGACCTAAATTTTTTAAGTGTAAAGTGAAGATTTTTCGTAAGAGGGTTTTAGGTTTGAGCAGGTCAAGTGTTTTTAGGTTCAAAATGTTTTTTAATGTCCGTAATACCACCATAAGCAACACATCAATCACTCCTACAGACTAAACAAAATGCGAATTCGTCGCCTCTACGCGAGGACGTAATGGTTCCTGGAAATTCTTTGCCGTAAGTTTCCCGGTATTTCTGTCTGACATTTGTTTTGGAAGCCATTTTGTTTGTCTTGACGACTGACACGGAAGTAGAAGTCGTAAATTATTTATACTGGGTTTAGGCGAAAGACCGAAGGAATTTATCGTTAAAGTTCGTTGCAACAACCTCTGTGGGAGATTTTAATTTTTTAAATTACACGTCTCTTTGTACTAATTTAAAAAAACAGATCTCCACACATTCAGCATGTGCCAGTATTTAATAATTATTTTTTAAAAATGGAATTCTTTTTAACCTAATCACCTAAAAAAATAAACATTACACGCATAGGAATACGCACTATGATCAATGCCGAGTGCCATTTTGGCCAATCAAAATAAAGAAAACTTCTATCCGTGATCCTTCAATCATGGCGTACATAGTCAACAAGGACACATTTTTCTGGCATTCTGACCAGAAAAATGAAGTGCCTTATTCATCAGAATTCAACACAGCCCTGCAAGTTACTGGTTTTTAACGACAACACCTGGAGGCATTGTGTGGAATATTCAAAACAGTGGCAGACTTTGGATGGAGAAGAAAAAATTTAAAAACATTGCAATCACGTATCGAGATGTGTTCGAACTCGAGGGTATGTTTGTATGTTATTATTAGTTATTTTATTATTATTATTTTCTTAGTCTTAGTATTTAAATTTTTTCTAGGCTGTGAGTGTTCACATTGGTTGTTGTTAAGAAATATATAAAGTACTTGTTCACAATACATGGTATCACGCAAACCAGTGGTGGGCAAACTTTCAAGTTTTAAAACAAAACCGAAGCCTAAACTGGTGAAGGGCAAAACATTTTTTATGAAACATAACTAACAAATTACATTAGTCATTAATTACAATGTCAAGGGTTATGAAATATCATTTTCAATAAAGTAATATTAGAAATATGGAGTACAGCACATAATATTTAAAATCACATTCTTATTAGAATCATTTAGTCAGGTTACATGGAACTTTGTCAAATTTATATTCCGTCGGTGATTGGTCTAAAACAAAACCTGCCGCCTTGTGGGAGCATAGTTTGGAATAGCCTTTTCAGAAAAATCAAAGGCAATTAGTCTAAGCCGTGAAAAGATCTGCAAAGATTATTGATCCTACAGGCGGAAATGCTATTTAAATAAGCAATTTTAGATTTTGATTTCATTTAGAGATTGCATTGCTCAAAAAACATTTAGATGTAGGAATCTAGTGGGCCGGTTAATTGGGCTTCGTAGTTTTAGGCGATATATTCTAGTATAAATATCATGCAAGAATTATAGTTAAGAAATTAATATTCACCCAGGAAGTCTGAGCTAAGTTACTATATTACTCGTAATATATTGTTAATTGAGCAAAGATAACTTAATCTATCACACAATTGTATTAATTGTAGATGTTTGTGTAAAGTTGCTGCTCTTTCCTGTACAGATCTATGTGGATGTAAAGACTGTCAAAATTCCACACCTACACCCACAGAGATGGCTATGGATGATAATGATGATGATCATGATGATGAAGAAGAATGTTGAATGTAAAAACTATATATAAAAAAAAATAAATATATATATTTTCATTATTACATCAACAAATATCTGTTATAAAAGTATTATTATTTTTTCCTTTTCTTTAAAATGATTTTCTATCCCCAATTCTTTGTACACTTTTAACCTGGCATTACTAAAATTAAAGCAATATATGGGAGCATGGATTTTATCCTCAGACTGACCTTAAAAATATCTTTGTTTCGCCTAACGCGACCGACTAACTAAAACCACCCCCGACTTAAAATATTTTATTGCACTTTTCCGCGATCTTTTTATTTTATTTTGTGTGTCAACCTGAAATATATCACGAGAGTTATTTCCCTTTACTATGGCTATGGTTTGATTCATTATTGAAACTGGTTGATCAAGACGAAAGCGTCATAGGTGTCGCTTCTCAACAAAATGGTTGCAGACGAAAGCACGTCCATTCCCACGAAATGATTCTGCCTCTATGTCTGTGGGGCGTCGTTTTAAACATGACGACGATATTTTCAATATCCATTTTCGAGAAAAATAAAGGCACAACCCGCACGATCGTTAAAAATGTGTTGAGGGAGTTTCAAACGTGAGTTTGTCGCAATTTGTGTGCGAGTCGTGCATCAAGAAAAATCCCGATGTCATTGATTTGTTTGCCAATAAAAGAAGACGAATGTTTGCACCCGGAAAATTATCAAGCTGTCAAATTAGCTCTTAAAAAAAAAAATCTGAAAAAAAAACCAGACCCTTCTCTTCGTCTGTGGGTCGGGTTTGGTGAAACAAAGATATTTTTAAGGTCAGCCTCAGTTGAATGCTACATTCTCACATAGTTTATAACTCTTACATCGGGGATTTTTTTTGTGTCTGTCCCTTATGATCGGCTGAAGTTTAGTGATTTTTTTTTCTCTTGATTTCTGATATTTTTAATATCAAGTTATTCCATCGGATTATAATTTTGTTTTATTTTATAGTAAAACTAATGTTTTAAATCTGTATCATTAGTCAAGTTTAAATTTTGAACAGTTTTACAATTCAAGTAATCTTTGTTAATGTTGAACCTATCATTGAACTCGCTATAACATATATTAACCATAACAAATTCATTATGCATATTTTGTACACTTTAGTCCATGAATGATTTAGTATAATTATAAAATCAAAATCAACATGTTTATTAAATTTTAAAATGACTTTGTATATATGTTTTTACATACCTATTGTATGCTGATTCAAGCCTATAAATTCATATCTTATCAACAGAGCTTGTACATACTGTTTTTTCCATATTCATTTTCATTAAAATCAGAACTTTTGTCAATTAAAGTCATTACAGTAATATTTAATGTTTAAATTTTGAACTACATGTATTTCTTTATATATCATACATGTGCAGCATACATATTTATTTTAGTCTATTATGGTACATTTTTTCTCAGTTGTTTGATGTTAATTATCAATGAATTAGTGTATGTGTAGTGTGTACATGTGTGTGTGAGTGTATGTAATATATATATGTGTATATTTATGTATTTGATTTATTATTGTAATTTCATTATGTTGTGATTGTGATATTTATATCTGTTTGTATTTTTTTTTTTGGGGGGGGGGGGGGAGAGTGGGGTTGCCTGCTCTATAATCCAATTATCTTTAATAAATAAAGTTAAAAAAAATAATTTATTTTTAAAACTCCCATAGACCGCTCCTTTCAGCAAGACCATGTAGTTTATATATATTTTTTAAAATAGGGGAATGGACAAACAAGGGACATTTTAGCCAGTTATTAGAACACAACCTGTATTATACCTATGCATTAATTTCAAAGAGTCATAATTTAGCAAACACAAATAACTGTCCACAAAACATCAGTTAATTGTTATTACATTGCCAAACCTTATTAGGGGTGCCTTTGGTATGGAGTGGTCGGGCTTTAGGAATTTCCGTTTTGTGGGTATATTGATATTAAAAGGTATTTCCAACCTTATATGGAGGGTGGGGGATTAAGCAGTGTGTGAGGGGGGTGGGGGTGCGGCTGGGCTTTGC